GAGAAAGAGAGAAAGAGACATTATGATGACCACATTAATACCGCCGAGTTAAGCAACTACAAGTGGCTCGATAGCTGGGACGTAAGTGGCTCGAACTGACTGAAGCAACCACCTATCTGCAAGGAGAGGGTAACGCATGCACAAAAAAGAGAAAATGAGATTGAAGGAGAACATGAAACGAGAAGCCAGCCATATCGAGAAGGGAATAAGCTGATGATAGGTACAAGAAAAGACAGGTGGAGAGAAGTGAGACATGTGGCCACATAGAGATCCCCAAGGAAAAACCCAAGTAATAATATGAGTCGTAGACAGCAAAAAGGATAAGGGTGACACATGGCGAGAGGTGACGGGAGACTGGAAAAAGGGAAGATTGAGAAAGGGAAGAGAGCGACGAGCTAAGACGGATCATCGACGGATACGGCGGGAAATAGACTAGAGCAAGGAAACGAGAGAAACAGAGAAGGGGAGAGAAGGAGACAGACATACCTTCGGCAAAACTGGCCAAGGGCAACGAAGAACTCGGCGATGGCGAAGGACGATTATCGTTCGCTCACAAAGCAGCAGGATCGCAAGCAAAACACGAACACGAATACATCCTGCCGACGACCCGCATATATACAGCCGGTATCACACTGACCTCCCCAGACCGATCTCCGCACCTCCAAACCTACAGCCGAAACTTACATGCACACTAAGCCCACCCCCGATCGTTTCCCCCAAAGGTAGTTGCGTGCACTGACCCCGATCCGCACCTCCAAACCTACGACCAAAACTTACATGCACACTAAGCCCACCCCCCAATCGTCTCCCCCAAAGGTAGTTGCGTGCACTGACCCCGCCCAAGTGCATATCTACACATATCACATGCCGCATCTCCCATATCATGATATGCACATGCCGTTTCCTCCTCCCCCTAAACCACAAGCCACGCTCCACAACGTAACCGTAACCGCAAACGCACATGCACGCACACATGGCAACCCTGAAAACAATGCACAGGAAACCGGGTCGGTCCATGACACGCACCGGGTCCACAAATTGCTGCATTGCACATTCACCCTCACGTTCTCCCTCCGCCATGTCCACACCTCGATCTGTTCGACTGATCACAGGCTCAACCTTCGACAACTCGACCAGCCTTCGGCACGACAACTCAACCAGCCCTCGTGCTACCGCCAACCCACTGTGCCCGTTCCCGTGTCGCCGCCATGATTTCGAAACCTCCCCGCGCATTCTCGCTCTCCGCTCTCGAAAGACCCTAGCTCTCGCGCGCTGCAAAAGACATACTTGGCTGCACTGCACGGCTGAACGCGACATCGAGAACTGACAAGCCTAGCCGACGGGAGGAGACCGCGGTAGCCGGCAGCTAGCAGCGAAGTGAAGATTCGGCGCGCGAATCCGGGCAAGCACAGGCAAAGATCGAAACCTGCATGGCCCCTACCCAATTGACAATTTATAAAAATAAAAAGTAAATATAAGAAACGAGACGTGCATGCATCGGCCCACAACTTCGTCCACCTCCAGACCAAGCTGCAATGCGATTCCCGCTACCAACAGAAAAAACGAAACCTGCATGCATCCGGCCACAACTCCGTCCACCGTCGACTAAAATTGAGCCAGTAGTACCCACCATACCATAGATCTCGGTGGAGAACGAACGGCCAGATAATCGCGACAACCTTTTATGGAAAGCACACTAACGACCCGAGGCGCGCCACAGTTCTCCCGCGACCACCACCACGCTCCCTCACAAGACTACCGGTCGGTCTCCAGTTGGCGACCGCAGCCCTATTTCTCGCGCAAAGACGCCCTCTAAACCCACTTACCCGGTCCCCAAATGGAAACCGCCCCCTAAACGACAAAAGACATCGGTCTATACACAGCCATCCTGGCTGCGAACATCACATTTATGAGTGATGCGGCGAGGCCCATACACCCGCCATAGGGCCTCGCTCCACCACTCTCTACATGCACAAAAGACCAAAAATATGGGCCTCGCTGCACTAATCTCGAAATGTGCAAAACGAGAGTGAATCTTCCGCTAAAATACGGAAAGATACCCCGCCAATATTTTTGTCTTTTGTGCATGTCGAGAGTAGTGCAGCGAGGCCCTATATTGCGGGGGAAAGAATAAAAAATAACAGAAATTGCGGTGTATCTGACCATGTTCTATCGGAAGATTCATTCTCATTTCGCAAAGTTGGAGAGGAGAGTGCTGGAGCGAGGCCAATAGCTTTGTCTATGAGAGTCGCTCCACTGCTGAACAGGTGCAAAATGGGAATGAGCCTTCTCCCAGAACATGGAAATATACACTTCCATAAAGAAAGAAAAAAAATAATCGTCCTTTGTGCATGTGATGAGTAGTGGAGCGAGGCCCTCTTTCACATTCACATTTGGGGCCTCGTCGCACTACTCGCCATCCGCCAACATTTTGATTGCATCTGGACAACACTTTATCCAGATGCATTCAAAATGTTGGCGGACGGCGTAGTGGAGCGAGGCCCTCCTTCACATTCACATTTGGGGCCTCGTCGCACTACTCGCCATCCGCCAACATTTTGATTGCATCTGGACATCTTTTTATCCAGATGCATTCAAAATGTTGGCGGACGGCGAGTAGTGCAACCACTGTTGGCCCTTGGCGAGTGATGCGGCGAGCTCGATAATTGTGTCGGTCTTCAATCGTTGCGGCCGTCCGGCGCACGGGCGCCTGTCAGCTGTCTCCCCCCCTGCCCCCCGGCGCTGTTGTCCGTCTTCACCACCGATCCCCAGCTGTTACCTGTCTTCCCCCCGTTGCTCTTCCCCCCGTTCTTCCCCCCGCTTCCCCGCGCAGCTTACCCTGCGCCCGGCCGCACGTCCACCATCGCGGCGCTGTGCGTCTGTCAACTGTCTTCCCCACCCCGCCGGCCCGCCGTCCCGCCGTCTTCACCCCCGATCCTCCGCTGGTACCTGCCTTCCCGCCCCCCGCCGCTCTTCACCCCCAGCTTCCTTCCGCCGCTTCCCGTCCGCTTCCCCGCGCAGCTTCCCCTCCGCCCGGCCGTTTTACGGATATCGTCCGAAGGGGAGAGGCACGTCCACCATCTACCGTCCACCATCGTGGCGCTGGAAGTTCACAGTGCGTGAGGCGAGGAGAAGGTGAGGAGGAGGGGGCCAGAGGAGAGGAGAACGGAACAGAGAACAGCGACTCATTAGCGAGGCCAATGGCTAGGCATCTGAGCAACAAACGATAGTCTTCATTCAACGAAGTGAATCAGCTTGGACACACCAGAGCTCAGAAAAAAAAGCGCGCATTCTCCGACGCCTAAGAAGTAAACAAGGTAAGGAAAGGGACAAGGGAGGCGAAGAGGAGAAAGCAAGTAGAAGAGGAGAAGCGAGAGGGAGGGGAACTTCAAGAGAGAGCGGAGAGAACGAAGCGCTATCCCCGATACACCTAAGAAGTCAGGCGAAGGGGAGAAGGGAGAGGGAGGGGAGAGAGGAGGAGAGCACGTGCACACACGTCTGAGACGTAAATAAATAAGAAAGGAGAAAGGAGGCGAACACTGTCAGGAGAAAGCACGGAGAAGAGCAGAAGGGAGAGGGAAAGGGAAAAGAGGAGAGAGCAAGTATAGGAGCAGGGCGGAGGGGGCGAGCAGTAGAACGTGAACGTGGTCGTGATTCCGTCCGTCGTTCACTCCCGCCAAGCTGCCTGCTTGTTTAGCCCAAGCACAGCCGCTGCCATGTCGTTCGCTATCGGTACTTTGGTGTTTCTGATCGTCAGCTTCGTGGGGAGCTTAGGGGTGAGGCTGTTTTACAATCAAAATCCGGCGACCAATTTGCTGAATATAACGCTAGTTAATACGGCGGTGGTTTGCTGCTGGCTGACATGGGCAATCGTGTACATGGCGCAGATGCATCCGCTGGTGAACCCTATCAGGAAGGCGGAGGGGGAGTGAGGAGTAAAAAAAAAAAAAAAAAAAAGAGTGAGGAGGAGTTGTGTCGGAAAAGAAAAAAAGAAAAAAGAAAAAAAAGGAGTGTCTCAATAGAGAGAGCGGGGAAGCAAGCATGGGAACGGATGCCGGAAGCGTACTATAGGATAAATAATCAGGCCATATACTCACGCGGGTAATTTTGTGACTCATCCTGGACGTAATTGCGGTCAGATACGTCCAGCAGCGGGGTGCTATGGCGGTCAGATGCATTCGGAAATTATGCTCTCTCATATGGCGTGGGGAATCGTCTACATGGCGCGCAGATGCATCCGCTGGTGACAAATGGACGTCATTGCGGTCAGATACATCCAGCAGCGGGGTGCTATGGCGGTCAGATGCATTCGGAAATTATGCTCTCTCATATGGCGTGGGAATCGTCTACATGGCGCAGCAGATGCATCCGCTGGTGACAACCTGTCCGAAAAGAAGGGAGAGGGTGAGTGAGGAGGAGTGTTCAAAAGAGAGCGGGAAAGCCGACTACGTAGGGAAGAATCAAGGCATACTCGCGCGCGGAGAATGTTTTTGACTCGTGTCTGGACGGAATCGTGGTTAGATGCATCCATCGCGGGCTGTTATCGTGGTCAGATACATCCGGATGGCGCAGATGCATCCTGTCACAAAGGAAGGGAGAAGGTGAGTGAGGAGTAAGCGCTCAAAAGAGAGCGGGAAAGCGTACTAGGGAAAAATCAGGGCATACTCACGCGGAGAATTTGTTTGACTCGTCTCTGGACGGAATCGTGGTCAGATGCAGCCAGCCATCGCGGCCTGTTATCGGTGTCAGATACATCCGGAAGGCGCAGATGCATACGTTGGTGACACCTGTCAGGAAAGAAGGGAGAGGGTGAGTGTCACTGAGGAGGAGCGCTCAAAAGAGAGCGGGAAAGCCGACTACGTAGGGAAGAATCAAGGCATACTCGCGCGCGGAGAATGTTTTTGACTCGTCTCTGGACGCAATCGTGGTCAGATGCATCCATCGCGGCCTGTTACTCTTGGTTACAATAAACATCCGGAAATTGCGTAAGTATGCTCTCAGATTGGATGGCGTGCGTGAGTATGCTCTCAGATGGATGGCGTGGGGCGCAGATGCATCGGGTGGTGAGCGGGGGGGAAGGATGAAAACGGATGGGATGTTGGAAGCGTAGGGGAGAATTAGGGCATTTTACTCGAACGAAGATTTATTTTTTCTTGACTCGTATCTGGACGTAGTTGGTGGTTAGGAACATGCAGCATGTGACCGTAATGGAAGTCAGATACATTCAGAAACTTTCTTCTGAGTATGCTCTCAGATGGCGGAGGCATTCGGGTGGGGGGTGAAGAGGGAAGTGGGAGAACAATGCGCAATGCGATGGTGTGTGGAGGGCATTTCTGAGATTTTGCCGTTGAGTGTGTTGTGGGTGGAGGTTTTCCGCTCCGTACCGTTGCGGGTACGGAGCGGTTGAGAGTGTGAAGGGGTGACTGACTCATTGGTGAGGGCAAATTGGTTGCAATTACCACGATTTTAAAATTTGAAAAAGTAAATAAATAATTCTTATAAAATAAATAAATAAGTAATAATCGG